TATCCTGCATGTAATTAGCTCAGTCAGATTATAATCCAGCAATTTTCAAAGCTTATATCTCTATTTCTAGTAATGTGATTGATATGAAAATAAAAAAAAAGTTAATAATAAACATTTCAAATTTTTCAATAAAAATTTAATAGTTACAATTATTTATAATTATACATAGAAAGAAAATTGTAGCATCAGTAAAAAAGATACCTATTTTCAAAATGTTTTTAAAAAAGTTGTTACTTATACAGTCATATCATTTAGGTTTTCAGTTATTTTACATATCAATAATACAAAAAGCACCTTACAAGAATTATAACTTCCAAACAATGAAAAATAAATTTCTTAACATGTCTACTACATAATTGACATTTATAATGCTTTATTAGCTTAGAAATAATAGTTATTGGCTGAGGCCTTTTACAGTAAGTAATAGTTTAATCATATATAACCACTGACATCTAATGTTTCTTTTTATTACTGTAAGGATATCTGGGTGAGGGGCCTTGGCCTACTGGACCCACTCTCCTAGATTCATACCTACTTATACAACTATTAAAGAATACATTTATTGACTAAAAAAACTGAAGAGGGCCCAGTCCTCTTAGACCCATCTTTCCTCAATCTGTGCCTACTTGTGCAATATTATACAATACTATTTCTAAAGAAAATGGGCAGATGAAGTAGGGCCTCCCTAGACTCCTCTCCTAGATCCACACATACTTCCACAACATTAAAAAAATTATCAGCTTATTCTAATAAACAATGGAGGTAGGTCCAAACTCCTCAAACCCCTACCTCCCTGACCTTCTTGGCTGCTTATATGACATTAAAGAATACTGCAATTAATTTCTGAAAAAAAAAAAGAGGATTGGGTTGGGTCCAAACTTCTTCCCTAGATCTATGCCTGCTTATACAACATTAAAGAATACAATTATGCTATTATAAATTAGAAACATAAAGTACAAGAAAATAGTAAATTTACACTTTATTAGACACTTAAGTAGCCAGGCAGTTGGCGATGGGTGCTCCAGCCATTTGCCTTTCCTCCAGTCAACAGTGGCAGAAAACCTTAAAAGCTTTACACTAACAAATACAGGGTGAGCAATTCTAGTAGCAATGAGAATCAAACCCAAGACCCCCAAATCATGAGAAACCTCCTTCCAATGAAGCTCTGAGCTGAACAACAAATAAACATAATGGCTATACTTTGATTAGATGGATCATTGGAATAATTGAAAACAGTAAATAATAGGAAACCCTAATTTCAATGAGTTAATTATTTTGACTTAATTGAAATTTTGATTAATTAACTGTTGGAATAATTGAAAGCAGTAATAACTGGAACAAATAATTTTGATTAGTTGATCATTTTTGTGAAAATCAATTTAATTGTAAATCTTATAAGTTATTTTAATGACATGAATCAATTAATCATAATTTTGGTTAATCAAACAGTTTACAAAACAGTAATCAATGTAATAGCTGCTGATAGGTCTATTATATTGTGTTGTGGCTTATTAATACTGTTCTGACTTTATGTTGTTTACATATCCTTTGTTTTTAGAGAGACCTCTGACATCTGTAATTTTCTTCCTGTTTATACTTCTTCTTCTTTATCAAGTGTTTAGGGTATCCATTAGCTTCTTCAATATTACAAATCTTTCTCATTCTATAATGCCTGTCTTTAAACTGTTGAAGTGGCTCAATTTATAGTAGAGGTATTTACCTGTATATTGTGGGTTTTCTCAAAACTCCATCCCATCTGAGCCTGGATGATTATTATACTCTTCTTTCCATTGTGAATTGCATTGCTAGATGTTCAGGAATTCTGAAATCTTGTCTGTCTAGACCCGAGGTTAAATCCAGACAACTACCACAAAAAACACAGTCCTACTCAGGACTTCCTTGAAGACTTGTTATGACATATCACACTAATACTGAAGAACCTTGTTATCCAGGCACGTCTACACGAAAATACTTCCATAATGCTTGTTATGACCTATCATACTAATACTAAATAACCTTGTCGACATGAAAATTCTTATCACCTATCATACTAATACTGAAGAACCTTGTTAACACCTATCATATTAATACTGAAAAACCTTGTTATCCAGGCATGCCAGGATGAAAATACTTTCATAATACTTATTATCACCTATCATCTAAACCTGAATAACCTGGTTATCCAAGCATGTCAGGATAAAAATACTTTCATGATACTTATTATCACCTATCATACTAATACTAAAGAACCTTGTCATCCAGTCATGGCACCATGAAAATACTTGTTATCACCTATCATACTAATACTAAAGAACCTTGTCATCCAGGCATGGCAATATGAAAATACTTGTTATCACCTATCATACTAATACTAAAGAACCTTGCCTTCCAGACATGGCAACATGAAAATACTTGTTATAACCTATCATACTAATACTAAATAACCTTGTTGACATATAAATTCTTATCATCTACCACCTATTGTACTAATACTAAAGAACCTTGTCATCCATGCACATGGTGACGTGAAAATACTTGTTATAACCTACCATACTAATACTAAATAACCTTGTTGACATAAAAATTCTTATCATCTATCATACTAATACTGAGGAGTATTATTATCCATGCATGTATACATGAAAATACTTTCATAATACTTGCTACCACCTATTGTACTAATACTAAAGAACCTTGTCATCCAAAGAAGTCTACATGAAAATACTTTCATACTACTTGTTATCACCTATACTGACAAACCACATCTTAAATACAAGATATATATATATGTACCTGCTTCTAAGGCTCCAGTATAAAAAGTACTTGTTTTTTTAGATTCTTATTTATTACTTGCCAGATTAAGAAAGAAATTAATATAATATTATCAAATGAAAAAAAAAACAGCTTCTTCTCTGAAGCATTTTATGGAATTTTCGATTGCTTCAAGGAATAAGAAATACAATTTTATAAAAACTACATGTATGGCATATATACATGTACTAGAAAGAAAAGCTGTGCACATTTAGTGAATGCATAAGAGAAGATATATAATGTCACTTGACCACGAAAGGAAATGTATATGTCAAGTACAACCTATGCTGCATTCCAGACAGAATTGTGAAACAAACAGATGCAACTATAGGAGAGAGAAAGCTATGAGAAAGTTTATACTAACTTCGTTAAAGATAGGAAACAAATTCTATTAAAAGATTTAGAAATGAAACCAGAGACTCTTAGCAGAACCTTGATCGGAAGGAAGCTGAGGAGAAATACATGCAAATAGGCAAACAAATTACAACTTTTGGCCATAACCAATTAACAGCTAGTTTTGGTTTGATAAGACAGTGAATATCAATCAATCATCCAAAGGATCTACTTGCAAGATCAGCATGTAGAGCTAATTGAATGCTCGTAGAAATACTGAAAAATGAGTATAAATATTCCCAATTTTAGCCAAAAAGTCAGCCTCTTTGCTCATATCAAGAAGCCAACAAACCTACTGATTGAAGATTCTTGACACAACTTATCCAGCTGCTTCAACACTTATGAAGATGACCATTTGGAAGAACATAGAATATTTCTCCCACTCAAGCTACATGTAAGTGACTAATGCTACCTCTCTCTCGGTCAAACAGTGTAGTTAAGAATTGGATGCAAAATTTATTAGTATTAAAAAACATTATGTCTGGGCATATTTCACTTAATATGATAATTGATAACTTATTAGTTTTAGTAAGAAAATTAATGGGTATTATATTTAATTGAAGAAAAAATACCTGCTCAGATCGAAGAATTTAGTCGAAGTTAACAGTGAAGCTTTTCAAGATACTTTCTGTAATTTCAATATAGCCAAGTATCTTAATAATTTAAATTGAAGTGTTGTTTATGATGTAAATCTCAGTCTCTTAGTCAATTCTTTATTCTAACTGTAAACTTCCTTGAGTTAGTGACTTGTGTACTCCACTCACGACTATAAACCTGGATTTACAATAAATCTATTTGTAATTGGATTTAATTTTGAACTCCAAACAACTAGCCTACAGCCTCCCGTTATATCTATAACTGTTAGTTCACATTTGATTATTTACTATAAACTGTTGACCTCTGTAGATGAATCGTCTTCTGACCATGCTTTCACTGGGATAGTTTGTTTATAATCATCTGTTAGAATATCTATCTCAGAATAGCTGATTTGTTTTATCAAAGTGCACTATCAGTAATCCTTTTTAAGGTTTTTAAAGACCATATACAGGTTGTAGAGATTTTATAAAATAAAAATCCCCTTTAACACCAGTTAGCTGTCTTTTACTGTTTGATGTTTTCAACTGCTTCAAAGGCTAAACAATTTCAATGCAACAGAGGCATTGCTCAATTCCAAATTTAACAATAACAAAGCTTCTTCTAAATGTATTTATTTTTTAACAGAAGCCTGTATAATACAATTTCTTTTTCAAGCATTATAAAAATAATACATCATATGCAAAATAATTTGAATTATCAGAGAAAAATGTATTTAAAAAATAGATTGATGTTTAGTATTTTATTTTATTTTAAAACACTACCAAACTGGCTACAAGTAGACACAGAGGTTGAATTTAAAGTCACTTATTTTGTGCCAAAAAAGTTACTGCCACTTCTCTTTAGGCAACACTAAGTGACAATACTATTTTTATGAAGAATTATTCTGCCATGAAAAACTTGTGTATAAAAAAGATAAAGATGTACTGAGCTCATAACAAATTATATTTTTTTTTGGTGTCTTATTGTAACTGTCCACATACATAAAATATTCCCTTCAACAAACCAAAAAAACACTTTCCTACATAGAAATAGAAACATCTTGATAACAAATTTCAAAAGCATATTTGTAGAAATAATTCTTTATGTCCTGTAATACTCAAAAACATGGAACAAAAGACTATTATTCATAATCATTTTCATCATGGTATATTTGAAACTTTGAATAGGTATTTGCTGGTATTATCTATGGCAATACCCACCTTTACATCTACACTTTCCATCTCTAGCAACTGTTTTAAGTCCTCCTTTGCAGCATCAGTTTGTCCCTGCAACAGATGAAAGGTACCTCTAAGAAGTAGAGCCTCTGCTGTATCCTGTCCATTACGTTCTATCTCTTGTGTACAATTTTTAATGACATCTTCAAACTTATTGTCCACAAAATTATGAATACCTAAACGAAAACCACTAAAAAAACACACACAAAGAAGTTTTAAATGTTGTTATTCTTAAGAAAAATAGATTATACAAAGATAATAAAAATATTCAATTGTTTTTTTAATTAGGCAAAACAAGTGCATATTTTAAAAACATATTTTGATAAAAATTAATGAAGAACCACAAGTTTACTATCATAACATGTAATAAAAGTTTTCACTCAAATGCTAGTTTATCTTGAGTTTCTCCAGTATAAGAGCTTAACAAGATTTACTATTAATTCACACAAAACAATAGTAAGCTAACTTCTGTAGCTAATTCTGATCTTTTGTATAAAATATACTTCCACATATCCCAGAAATAAAAACATTTGAAGAACCAAAAGATCATGTCAAAAGGAAAATATGCTCTGAATGACTTGATTTCAATCATTTTTTCCTTCACATAATGCTCCTTGAATCTATGAACATGCTAACAGTCTGACATGACACTGTTTGTATGATAAACAGGAACTTTTCCCACCTTTCCTGAGTTCTCTGTATTTTACTTCTATGTTTGACAATGTGATAGATGAAACATTGTAATGGTTTTTCAATGACTTCTAGGTAGACAAGTGTAAGCAGAAAAATTAAAATTAAGGCAAATACCACAATTCCAACACTTCACCAGTTGTATATTTCTGAGAACAACACTTTTAAAGGACTTGAAACTATTTTTTTTGGCAAATTACTCATAAAGTTGCAAACCACAATGACAAAAAAAAACAAGTTATAGGCCCTTTATAATAGCAGATATAACTAGTCAGATGAGAAGAATTTCTAGGAAGCATCACATTTTTGACCGTATATTTTAACAATCTCAGATTTTAGACTTACGTTTGTGATAACAATTAACTTCCTAATATGAAATGAAGCAAAACCCATAAAAACTGAAATAATGCTTGAACAAAATGGTTTTAATTACTGTTTAAAACTTGGGAATCCATTACAAGATACATAAGAACAGTGCACAACAAACTACCAGTAAAGGCATATTAATCATTTAGTATAGTTTTATGCATAAATGTTGTTCTTGTAGTAAGCACTTTGATTATCAACTGGCAAAAAAAAAATGATGGTGCCACTTGAAGTTCACTAGAACCCACTGACTTTTTACAAGCTAGCCGCTGCTAATTTCAAGCCCCTACATTATTATATTGCCATCTAGAATATTTTTCTAGTTCAGACCAGGGACCAGACCATGCTATTTACTTGTGAGCCACTTGAGACAATAAATCTTTTATTTTAAAGCATATAAATAAAAAACTACACAAATTGACAACATATATTTAACAATTTAAATCAAATAAACACATTATCTTTACCTGACAGCAAAACCATTATGCATTGTAAATGTCTCTGGTAACATGCAAGTAAAATGAACAAGAAAACAATGTTTTACTGTGTAAGGTAAGGTTTTTTTCAGCTGTTATTAGAACTGTTTATTGCCATTGATCTGGTGAGACAATAAATTTCATGATGCACTGACATAATGATATTTATCATGTTTCCCATATTCAAAAAGAATAGTGATTTTGAACAATAGTATATTTAAAATAATACAACTGTATAGCAAAATAAAACTCATAGAATTTACAGAAAATGCTATTTGTTGATTTTTATGTGATTTAAATGCAAAGGTTTTCCACACTTTTGATTTGTAAACAACTGGGGTATAAACTAGTTTATAATCATCCACCATTTTTTTTTTGTATATTATCTTTTCAACTCCTTCGCAAGGCCTTATGCTCTCTAGAATAGTGGTTCCCAAAGTCTCTGTTAGCCCTCACACTACAGGTAGGTCAAAGATCAATTTTATTTGAGTACCATCCAAAATTTAATAAACTACTTTATTATCAATGTGTACAAATAGACTTGGCATCAAAACTTAGTTAATCTTATCTGCCCAGGCATCATTTACTGCGCATGACACAAGGTTTTAGTGACTTATATGCAAAATTTAATTAAACTATTTTTTGTTTATGGTATTGTTTGTTTGTTTGTTTTGAATTTCGCACAAAGCTACACAAGGGCTATCTGTGCTAGCCATCCCTAATTTGGCAGTGTAAGACTAGAGGGAAGGCAGCTAGTCATCACCACCCACCGCCAACTCTTGGGCTACTCTTTTACCAACGAATAGTGGGATTGACCGTCACATTATAATGCCCCCACGGCTGAAAGGGCGAGCATGTTTGGTGTGGCGGGGATTCGAACCCGCGACCCTCAGGTTGCGAGTCAAGCGCCTTAACCACCTGGCCATGCCGGGCCATTTGTTTATGGTATACCAATTAGTACAGCATAAATTCTTAGCTAATAATCCATATTTTAGTAGTATATAAGTTTTAAGTTCTTAATTCTATAAGGTAATATATTAAAAAATCCTGAATTTCCCCTTGTGTGACACATGTGACATATTTTCTCCAGGCATCCCCTCTAATCTATTTTATTCACCACCACTCCAATAAGTACGAAATTTAATCTAAATTACTCACTATAAAACCATCATTACTCAGACAAATCATAACTTTTATAGCCTAAATTTTGTTTGGCTACAGAGCCATCAAATAGAAAATCAGACCCCTCCTGTCACATCCTCTCTTTCACAATTGGTTGATAGTTCTTCATGTTTCATTATATATGATCTATAACCAATAGAAAGCCAAGGTTTTCATCTATCAATTTAACAGAGATATAAATTTCTCTGTTAGTACAAGCTTCGTTCCCATGGAAAAGATAACAATTAGCTTGGATGAATTCGTTATGGCTCTCGTCGCATAGTAAGAAAGCCAGAAAAACTGTGACAGTTAGAGGAAATTGTGTGCTTTTTGAATGTTATTATTCTATGTTCTTCAGTGCATTATTTAATTAAATAAAAATTATTTAGTGCACTACTACCATTAGTATAAAAAGTAGGGTTAAGTGTCATCAACATTCGCTAGCAAAAAAAATACTCAGGCGAGTACCTTATTTCTTGTTTTTCAAGTATATTCTTTATTTATGAAGAAATATGTATCTCTTTAGGTTAGTTAAGGTTAGATTAGGTAAAATAAATAATAATAATATAATAAAAATGTTTCACAAGGAATGCATGCGAGCAGCTCAGAGTAGCTCGTGGATAATGTAATTTGATAGCATAACATGAGCTTCATGTTACCCAAGTGATTTACAACTTATAATGGCATGAATAGTAGTAGTTAGACTTGGCTCAAAGGGTAATAAAATGATAAAATTTAAGTATAAATAGATGTATACTGTTATGAGTTTAAAGCTACTTAGGATAAACAAATGTAGTTTTATGTTACAATTTGAAGCCATTCTAGAAAGTAAAAAAGGGTAATTTAGATTTATTTTCATTTTTTGTTTAGGTGGTTACAAGGTCAGTCAAATTGACCAACCTTGTTTAGAGTTAGGGTAGAGAAAATATCAGATAAGATATACAACTTGAAATGTATTTCGGAGGTTTTAGAGATTATGCAAATGAATATTGAGATTTTTGAGATGACGAAAAGTATTTTTAATCTTAACATGAAAATCACTTTGCATGCAGGCTAGTAAAAAAAATACTTGATATATTCATGGACAAATCTTTTTCTTTTAGTTTACTAAAATTATGATTTTTTGTATGTGAAAGACTTGCAATGTTTACTGAAAGTCTTCCAAATTTTGTGAAGGTGTAGATACTATATTAAAAGTTGGTAGTATCAAAACTATAAAGGCTTTAAACAAGTATAAAGAAGTCACGTGGTCAGTCAAATCAACTGAGCCTGTGTTGAAAGAGTTAATCATTCAAATTTTAATGTTATAAGTTTTATGTTCTTAATTTTATAATGAAATATTTAAAAAATCCTCAATCTCCCCTAGTATGAGAACTGTGACACTTGCCAAGTCTTCCCTCTTTTCTAACTTATTTACCACCCCTCTGAGAGGTAAGGAATTTAACATAAGTTACTAATTATAATACAGATACTATTCAGGCAAAGTGTAATTTATAAGCCTTTAATCTCATTTGTTTACAAAGCAATATACTATAAAATCAGACCCACCAGTCACATCCAATCTTTCACAAATTGCCAGTAGTACTCTCTGACATTTGAAAATATATTATTTATAATCAATAAAGAACCAAAATTTTAATATATCAAGTGACGTATTATATTACATTTTCTGTAGATAGTATTGTCTATTTCATCTCCAGTTTGAAAATTTCTCTTGCAGTATTCACATTGACAAGCTTAGTTAAATATTCACTTTTATTGCATAGTTAGAAAGCCAGATAAATTACTATAGCCATAAGACATTCTTTGCTTTGATCGTACTATTATTCTGTGTTCTTAGGTGTATTATTTAATTAAATAAAATTTATTTAGTGTACTAATACCATTAGTATTGAAAAAAAGTATGCTTAACTTAGGCATATTTAGTGTACTAGTACCAGTACTATAAAAAAATAAAGTAGACTTAACTTTCATCAATAGTCAAAAGAGGATCCAGATTAGTACCATATTTCTCGTTTTTCATGTATATATTTTATTTATTATTATAAAAGTAACTAAAATGTAAAAATTAGAAACTTATTAGGTTAGGTAAAATAATGAAAAGTAGTAATAATAATTCTTCACAATGGTTTTAAACTTGAGAATCCATTACCCAATACACAAAAGCAATGTACAACAAGCTACCAGTAGAAGCTTATCAATTAATTAGTGTAGTTTTCCACATAAAGGTTGTGCTTGTGGTCATTTTTGTTTAGATTCTATTTACCACTGTTTATACACCTGGATTATCAACTGGCAAAAAAATGACAGTGCCACTTGCACTAGAATCCACTGACTTTTTGCCAGCTAGCCACTGTTAATTCCAAGCATCAATGCTCAATATGTAATTCAATATGGTAACTTAAAATATACATTCATCAAGTGACTTACAACTTTTATGGCAGGATTATTAGTTAAACATGAGTCAAAGGGCAATAAAATAATAAAATTTGAGTATAAACAGATGTATATTGTTACGAGCATTACGCTATTTAGGATAAATAATTGTTGTTTCCTGCTACAATTTGCAGTAATTCTAGAAAGAAAAAAATGATAATTTAGATTTATTTAGTATTTTTTGTGATTACAATGTTCATCAAATTGACCGAATGCATATAGAATTAGGGTAGAGAAAATAACAGATAAAATATAAAGTTTTTCTTCAAAAAATGTTTGATATTTATTTAGGAGGTTTTAGAGATTACACAAATGAAATTTGAAAATTTTCAGATAAAGAAAAGTATTTTTAATCTTAACATGAAAATCATTTTGCACTTGGATCAGTCAAAATTTGGAATCCATATGTTCAAGGAAAAGTGTTTATTAAATATAATTAATTAAAAAATCAGATTTTTTGTGCACTGAAAGCTTGCCAAATTTTGTAATGATGCATAAAACATTAAAAGTTGTTGTCTGTAAATCTGATGGTCAGTTTATGGTCACAAGGGTGGTGTAATCCATTAAGTTCATAGCAAGAACCCGGGCTCAGTGCCATTTTGTGCTTGTTATAGTTTTCATGCTATAACTTCTAGATTAGTAAGTGAATGTTAACAAAATTTCGCAGATTATCAGTAAACATTACAGTACTTTCATATGCAAAATATCTAATTTTTTTTATCAAGTCTTAAAGTTTGTAAAGCAATGTTTCTTTCATACCTTTTTTTTCTTTTCACATCTTGCCTATCTTTCAAGCAAAGTAATTTTCATTTTAAAATTAAAATTTCACATTTCACATGCAAAATCTTTATAATGTCTGGATAGTTATCAAACATTTCTTAAGAAAAAAACTATATATTTTATCTGTTATTTTCAGTAATTAATCTCTGTATGGGTAAAGTAAATTTGACTGATTTTGCAACCACCATAGAAAAATAGGAAATAAACATAAATTATGCCTCTTTCATTCTAGAATGAACACAAATTGTAACATGAAAACATAATTGTTTAGACAAAATAGCTTAAATCTCATAACATTATACATTTATATATATTTATTATTTTTATTATATTCACCTTTCACCCATGCCTGGCTAACAATCTTGAAGTTACAACAATGCAGCTCACGTGCACTCATGTTGCCACATCAAATAACATAAAAGTGACCTTTGGTCTGTACATAGTAGCTTGTCTTGGCTGTGTTTTAGTCAACTAGTATTTTATAAAATACAGTCACATTTCAATTATTATACATTATATATGTATAAAGATTATTGCTATTTTGAAATAAGTTCTTAATATTATTTTTTTCTAAAACATAGAATAGTAAATAAAGAAGTAAAGCAACCAATTATTTTTTCTAGTTACGACCTTTGTACTTGGTTGTTGCCTGATAAGGTTACTAAGCCTTTAAACATTTTGGATGTGGAGGATATGAAACAAAATATTTTTTTAGGTGTTATATATACTTTTGAATACCTAAAAAAGTATAAATTACTACATCAATACCACAAAATTCTACTATAGTTTATCAAACTTAGTAACTAAGCTGTATTTGGGTCTAAAAAACAAAATGACATTTCCAGCAGACTAAAGACACAACCTACCTCATTTAAATCTTGGTTCAAAACAAAGAAATGGCACTAGGAGCATTAGAAAGGCTGGGGAAACCACTAAGAGGGCAATCTGAGCTTCCGATTGGTTATTCATGTCATATATAGAAGTAAGTGTATATAAGGGGGCATTTCCAAAAATGGAAAGAGGTGAGCAGAATGCCACTGTGTTTGATTTATGAAGTGAGCAATATCTTAGCAAATAGAAAAGATAAGACCTTCTTATTTTATATTCTAACTTGTCAATATTGGTAATTTGAGTTTCTAATTTGTATGAAACTATAGAGTTAATATTTTGACTTC